GCATTGCCAATTCAACCCCCAGCAACGGTGCCAAAAACTTGGTGCAGTCCGTCGCGATGACTCCAAATTTGTGCAAAAGAGTGTGAGTGTGCAATGTGGCCAAGTTTTAAATTTATAAATGCCACTACTACCTCTAACTAAAAATATAGCTTGGGTGAGTAGGGATCGTCCCAAGGGATTGTAGGCGTGTTTGTAATGGAAACAAGGTATAGGGTTAGTAGGTCGAGTGATCAAAAGATGGTTGGATTGATTGATTAAACTATTATGCAAATTAATTGAAGCAAGCAAAATACAATGATTTATAAGATAGAGAAAAAGATATAGAGGAGAGGACTTGGGGTACTAGAGCTCACCACTAAGCATGACTTCACTAGACACTAGCAATTGTATATCAATGGGGGAAATTAAATTATAACTTGTGTGTGTGTGTGACATTAATTGAAACTAGGCATGGATGGAAAATAAGTATAGATTGTCTAACCAATTCAAATAGAAAGCACAACCTATCAAATGAGACCATAATCAATTCAATGAAACCATAATTTATGCACACATAACTATCTAGAAGCATACACCATTTGCATTCATAAGTATAGAACACTAAGGAACAAGAATAGATTGTCCACCTATCTATGAATCTAAAGCAACTACACTAAATCTACACTAAAAACATGAAAATTAATCTAAGTAAGCTAAAGGTGTGGCACAATCCATCAAGAAACAAGTGTGAACCATCAAATAAATTACAAGAGTGTTCAATTAAGCACTATGTTTTGACTATCTCTAGATTAACTTCATCCATACACATAGACATGCATAAACTCCACTAAATCTAGAGAAAAATACATGAATCATCCATTTTAGCATACATAGACATATGGTTAGAAATAGATAATCAATTGAAAGCATTAATCCATACACATCAAGTAGAAACCATAAGATATATATATATAAATCCAAGATCAAAACATTTATTGCAAGCAAATCCCCAAAAATATACAAAGCACTAGGTCTAGGAAGCAAACTTAGGGGCTACTCTAGCCCTAAGTAGATGTCTAGCCACTCATTGAAGTAGTCATCCAACCCTCAAGGGCTATCTCCATGGTAGGTATGACCTCCTTCTTGATGGAAACACTAGAAGAATGGAAGAACTCCCAAAGGTGTGTGAAAACTCTCTAGTCTCTAGCCTCCTCTCCAAGATATGAGATGTATATGCTATCTTCAATTCTTTTTTCAATCCCCCTTGATATGAATGGCTCAAAATCCTTATATAGGAGGCTCAAGTGTCACACCCAATGGTCTGGATTCATGCACTAGGGTCCTTGCAATGATTGCACTATGAGCCAACTTTTAATGAGCTGGAATTTATTTTATTTCGGACTTGAAGAGGTTCGATCGATTGAACTGTGTTGAAATCGATCGTACATTGGTAAGATCCATTGAATGTTGCAGAGATCGATCATCCTTGGGGGCGCCTTTTTGAATAAAGATAAATTTCTGAGATATTTTGGGATATTTTGGGAAAGAGACAAAAGTGGTAGGTGGGGTGGTAGGTGTGGATAAGATTGAATAATTTCGATCGATCAAAGATAAGTTGGATCGATCGAACATAGTGGAATCTTTTGGATAAGAACAAAGGCTTGGATCCATCTTGATATGTCTAGATTGATGTTGCTCTGATCGATCGAAGTAATGTTGAGATCGATCGAACACGCTGATTTTCCATACTTTGCTTCATTTTGCTTCCACTTTATTCCTTTATTCCATTTAGCTTGAGATAACTTCTTTAATGCTCTTATTTGGCTGAATTAACTTATTTTTGGTATAAGCACCTGAAAAAGGCAATAACATGAAATTAGGCTAAAACTGGAAAGTAAGATAGATAAAGGTCCTAGAATACTCGAGCTTAAGGGGTTTAAATGCGTACTTTTCAGCGCTTATCAATAATCATATAATTCATAGTGTCCGGAGCAATCATAAGCTTTAATAAATATACTCGTATATAATATTTTTCCATTTCCCACACACAAACTCACTTTAAAAACTTTTCAATTAATTAATTACAAGTTGATGATTGGTTGCCAGGGAAAAAATAAAATATAATTACAAGTAAGTGATACTAACTTATTCAATCTTTTAATTCACATTATCACTCATTTGGCAATGGCTTCTCTATATGGTGATGTAAGCAACTTCAATGCTCTCTCATTTGGGCTCTCAAGCTCAAAATATGATAGTTGGGTAAAAAATGGCCTCTCTAATGGGCTTTCATTTAGGCTCTCAAATTTTGAGATTCTCAAATCTCCTCTCAAGTATTGCAGTTGCCAATCTTTTTTGGCAAGTCTCTCGTTTTCCTATAGGATGCCGTTTCTCTTATTTCTTTGTGGAATCATAATCTGAAATCATCACCCACTCGCATCTCTCTCTCTCCTTGTCTGTTGCAATATAGAGAGAGACAAAAGTTCTAGGAAAATCATCCGATTTAAACTAGAGGAAGAAAATCGACGACGAAGAGAGGGTTACTAATGGATCTCAATCTCGATCTTAACGGTTCCTGGCCATTAGATTAGATCTTCGTCTCCTCCAATCCTACGCCTCCGTTCTTTCTCACGTCCTCAGTAACCTTCTCTTGTGAAGCTAGCCTGACTTCGGTTTTTCTTGGTTGTGGCCGGATTCTTCTCGTTTTTGCCATGTTATATGTTTTTAGTGCGAATAGATGATGTGAGTCGATGTCGGAGGTTATGATATGAAGTGTTGCGGAGCTACCAAGATGATGCGATACGAGGTTAGGCAATTAGTTCACAATAATTGCCATGAATTCGAAGTAGCCGATACGATTAATTAGAAGTAATTGCAGAAATCGTGCGATTGCGATTTACGGAATTTCAAAAGTTGTCCAATTGTGATTTAGGGCAAGTTTGCGATTAAAATTGTTTGATTGCAGAATAGTGATTGCAATTCTGAACAAGTTCGTTGAATTATCTTTGGTTGTCTCGTGATCATGTCACTTTTTTTTTTTTTTTTCCCCCAATATATATATAGAAATGTTAGGCGCTGAATGTTATACATTTTACTTGCATGTTTTATTCTCTTAATAATAGTTTATTTGTGATTTTACATTGTTTTATTATTTTTATTTATTTTAGGATTTTAATTGTAAAATCAATCAAAACCAGTGATTCTAAGCTTTAAAAAGATGACATTTCGTGGGACCGAGCAATGTTGAAGATCCAAGTCTAATTATACTTAGAAAATAGTCTAAAAGAAGCCACAAGTTGATGAGAATGGAAAGAAGAAGACAAAAGAAAAATTTAACTGTTTACCTTGTCAAAAATTGGGTTAGAAGTCTATACAAATTTTGGAGTCCTTATTTGACAGAATTTCTATGTATGTCTTCTATATGAAAAAGGAAACTTTAGGACTGATCTTTTATTATTTAAAGGGAGTCCTCTATAGCATTGAAGCATCATTATACAGAGGAGCTTGAGACTGAGATCAGAGAGGAGCATTCAGAAGACGGAAGGGATCAATCCATGGCAGTGAAGATGTCTTCCTCAACCATGAAGTCAGTCATGGTTGGCTAAATGCTTTGCTAGAGTTGTGATGTAGCCCTAGCTTAGCACACTGGTTTGATTGTATTTATTTATTGGAGAACAATTTTTATCATGCGTGATTATGTAATTTATAGGATTTTTAATTGACTTTTCAACAAGAATCGGTTTTAGAGTTTTAATTCAATCACAAATATTTTTCTATATTGTTTTAGATATTTTAATCTTGTGATTGAACACAACTCATTCACTTCTTGTAGTTGTGAATGAGATGATTACACAATGTTATTTCTCTGAATATAATGTTAGAGATTTGATGGATTATGCCTAAAAAAGATTAACCATGCTACACCCTAGAGTAAAGTAGATAGGTAGATGGTTTATACCAATCAAAGATAGTCTATGCTTAGCTTTAAATTATATTATTTTCTAGCTGAATTAATATGTGCTTGTGGCCATGATTTATTCCCTGTGCATGTTATATCATATATCTCCAATAAATTGATGCAATTAACTGGTGGTGCGACGTTAGTAGTGAAGTCATTCCCCTAGTTCTCTCTCTCTATTTTCTACATCCTATTTAATCATTGTTCTTTAGTTTATTTTATTTTTCTACTTAGTTAATTTAGAATTAATCATCACAATTCGATTATCCTACTTTCAAGTTAATTTAGAATTTAAGAAATCTATTGACAAACTTAATTTACAAAAGTCCCTTGGGTACGACACCCTTACAAGTAAGCTCTATCTGCAAAGATTCGTGCACTTGCGAGTGGTACATATAAATCTCACAGCAAGTTTTTGGCGCCATTGCCGGGGACTTGTTTTAGTTCTTGACAGATTATATTAAATTCTATAATTAATTTCAATTAGGATCTTAGTTTAGGATTTTATTTTATTCTATTCACTATTTTAGGTGGAAGACATTCTTTGTCACTCCCTAAGCTTCCGTTCGACCCAGAAATCGAAAGGACTCTTAGAAACTTGAAGAAAGATTTTGAAGGCCTTAAAAAGGAAAAGATGGCGGATGACCAAGAGAACCTTAGGGAGTTGCAAGTTGAAGGAAGAGCAGATCCATTATCTGTAGAAGCAGTTCACTGTTTAAAGGATCACTACAAATCAGGTGCATACAACTCTTTATCTAAAGTTCGATATCCTCAAGTAAGGGCCCCTTATTACCAAAATTAGGGCCAGTACTCTTCAGTTACTACCTTCTTTTTATGGCTTATCAAAAGACGATCTGGCACTTGGATGACTTTGCAAAGGTGTGCAGAATAATAAAGATCTAGAGCTTTGACGATGATGTGCTCAAGCTACACCTTTTCTCTTTTTCATTGAGGACAAGGCGAATGACTGGTTTAATTCATTGCTAGCAGACTCCATCACTACATGGGCTGAATTGCAACAGAAGTTTTTGAATAAGTACTTCCCCACAGTGAAAACTACTCAATATCGAGATGTTATTAGTGATTTTGCTCAAGGGCTTGATGAGCCTTTTCATGAAGCTTGGGAAAGATTCAAAGACCTCATTCAGAAGTCTCCTCATCATGACATACAAAAATAGTAGCTTGTTAACTTCTTTCATAAGGGGCTCAATGAGGCATAAAGGTATATGGTGGATGCCTCTTGTGGTGGAAAATTTATGTTGAAGAGTGTAGAGGAAGCATGGTAGCTTTTTGAAAATATATCTGATAATTCTACACAACATATCTTACCTCCAGTAGGAAGACCTCATACCATATTGAGGAGAGCAGAAAGTGTGAATGAAGCAAGAATAAATTAAGGGTTAGTGAGCCAAATGGAGGTATTAACTAAGAGGATGGATCAATTGATGACTTCATAGTCAAATTTTACTCCTCATTCGACTAATGCTCAAGGCCTTGAAGTGTGCTCTCTCTGTTCCAGTCCAACTCACCACGTGTTTATTTGTCCAAGTGCAGCTCAGTATTCAGAAATTCCATAAGAACAAGTTAATGCTACCTATGGAAGGCTCAGAGGGAATAATATGCATTCAAACACTTACAATCTGGCTTGGAGAAACCATCCAAACTTCTCATGGAGAAATTTGGCCCCAGGGACATCAGCTCCTCCACCTCAAGTACCTCTCCAATTCAGACTTCAAATCCTCAAGGGTTCACTCCTATGAATGTCTTCAGTTAACCTCAATAATCTTATCAATGCTCGAGGCAACGATGGCAAAGTAGTTAGAGCTAACTAATCAACTTGTGCAGTCTCATTCTCAATCCCTTGCCAAGTTAGAGACACAAGTTGACCAACTAGCTTAAGCCTTGAACAGAAGAGAGGATGGTAAGCTTCCTTGTCAACTAATAGCTAATCCAAGAGGTGTGCGTATAATTGATGATATTACTGGCCAAGAAGTCCACCATGAACAAGTGCAAGTAATTATTACTCTGAGAAGTGGTAAGAGAGTTGAAAATAAGGTGGAAGAAGAGGAAAAAAAGAAGGATGAAAATTAGAAGAAAAAACTTGAAGATAAAAATGAGCGTAATGAAAAAGCACAAGAAGTACCTCTAACTACTGAGCCTTCTCTTGAGTAGAGGCATGCAGTTGTGCCATTCCCTTAGAGACTACAAAAAACATCAAAGGCAGCGAAGCAAGCAAGCAAACTTCAAGACATAATGGAGATGTTCCAACAGGTGAAGATTAATCTCCCATTGCTTGATGCAATTCAACAAATTCTAGGTTCCGTTAAATTTATGAAAGATATGGGCACTCAGAAGAGGAGTTCAAATAGCCATGTTCCTAAGAAGGTGCTATTAATTGAGCAAGTCAGTTCCATAATCCAACACTGCACTGCTCCAAAATTCAAAGATCCAGGCGCTCCAACAATTTCATGCACAATAGGGAATCATCAAGTAAAGCGAGCTCTCTTAGATTTGGGTGCAAGTGTAAACCTTCTTCCTTATTCAGTTTACTTGCAACTCGGATTAGGAGAATCGAAGTCTACTTCCATTATTCTCCAATTGGCAGATAGGTCAACAAAACAGCCTCGTGGTGTTATCGAAGATGTGATCATCAAAGTAAATAAATTTTATTTCCCAGTGGACTTTATTGTGCTCGATACCGAGCCAGTTCTGGAGCCAAGAAAGCACATTCCAGTGAACCTTGGTCGTCCTTTCCTGGTAACAGCAAATGCAAGCATAAATTGTAAGACAGGCATTATGGACATATCTTTTGGCATTATGAAGGTGCGTTTAAATATTTTCAATGCCAGCCAATACCCTTCAGATAATAATGATTGTTTTCTAGTCGATGTCATCAATGAATGTGTTGAAGAGATGACCCTATTTGCCTTGATAAAAGATCCACTGGAAGCATGCCTATCTTACTTTGATGCTGAGTCATTTGATGTTGAGAAAAGTATTAAAGAGGTGAATGCCCTACTTGATGTGGCAAGTATGCACAACATTCCACCATGGAAGATTCCTATTGAGCCACTTCCATAATTGTCAAGTAAACTACTTATACCATCTTTGGAGTCTCCACCAGAGTTAGAGCTAAAACATTTGCCCTCTTATCTAAAGTATACATTTCTTAGGTCAGAAAGTACTTTTCCAGTAATTATTTCAGTAGAGCTATCAGACTTACAAGAGGAGAAATTATTAGAAGTACTAGCCAACCATCGAGAAGCTATTGGCTGGAGTGTGGCTGATCTCAAAGGGATTGATCCCTCAGTATGTATGCATCGGATTTTCTTAGAAGAGGACTCCAAACCTTCGGGAGAAGCATATAGGCGGTTAAATCCAAATATAAAAGAGGTGGTAAAAAAGGAAGTAGTCAAGTTACTTGATGCAGACATTATTTACCCAATTTTAGATAGTAAGTGGGTAAGCCCGATTCAAGTGGTTCCAAAGAATCTAGGATCACTGTGGTAAAAAATTTTGAAGGTACTTTACTTCCCCAACGCACTACTACAGGTTGGCGAGTGTGCATAGATTATCGCAAATTGAATTCCAAGACACAGAAGGATCACTTTCCTCTCCCATTTATTGATCAAATATTGGAGAAACTGGCAGGGAAAAGTTTTTATTGCTTCTTGGATGGGTATTCTGGATACAATCAAGTTGCCTTTCATCCCGACAATCAGGAGAAGACAACTTTCATCTGTCCATATGGTACTTTTGCCTACTGCCGTATGCCTTTCAAACTCTGTAATACACCAGCCATTTTTCAAATATGCATGATAGCTATTTTCTTTAATATGATTGAAAACTTTCTAGAAGTCTTTATGGATGACTTCTCGGTGTTTGGGTCTTCATTCAATAGTTTCCTGGAGAATTTAGTGCTTGTTCTTCAACAATGTAAAGAGAAGAATCTAATCTTAAGTTGGGAGAAAAGTCATTTCATGGTGTAAGAAGGAAGTGTCCTTGGCTATATAATATCCAAGCAGCGTCAGGCGACCATCACCCGACCTTGGGGCGACCATCACCCGGGGGGTAATTCCTGACGCAACATAGCAGCGCCGGATGATCATTCTCCTATTCCTCAACAACTTTACTTCCATTATACAAATCTTACCCATTACTTTCCTTCTCTAACCTACTACAAAAGTTCCTAAACCTAATACAATTTACATCTTCCTCACCACATCTACAAAATTTCATCATTCCATAAATCCAATTTAACAAAAATCCATCTTCCACATCTACAAACACTTTCCTATACACATTAGAAAACCTTCACAGTCCCAAAATCTTTTCTTCCTTCTACCTCACAATCTTTCTCTCTCTCTATATATATATACATCCCTTGTTATTATCCTTTACCATTCCAAATCCCAAATTCCATTGCACAAATTTGGAGAAGAAATCGAAGATTCAAGACAAGAAATTGGGGGTGCCCGCCAAGTGTTTGACAACAAGGCCTCCAAGAATTCCTTTTCATTTTACATGGCTCCCAAAAAGAAGAATGCCACACAAGGCGGTGCTTCAACAAGCCGCTCTATTCAATCCTCCGTAATACGGCTAACTCTTCGAGATACCATAGATGAGAGGTGGCATGGTCACCTTCTTAATCATGAAGTGGGTTTTGACATCGCCATTCTAAATCAAACCATTCTGGAAACTCAGTGGCCCATTGTAGATTTACGGCACCAACAAGCTGAATACCTTTTTGAGCCAGTTGGTAAACTCATGTACCCCAGACTAGTCAAGGTGTTGTATCAAAATCTTCATTCCAATCCAGGTGAACGGGGAACACTAGTGTCATCTATTGATGGTACTATAATTCGCATTACTCCTTTGACAATTGCCATGGCTTTGGGACGTCCACATCAATGCCTGGCTGATTTGGAGTTAATTTTCACTTCGATGTCAGAGGATCCCACTAGACTGATGATTAGTCGCTTTGTTGCTAATTGTTTCTCAGGCTCCAAATATAATTCTACTACCAAATCATCTTTGCCATCACACCTATGGTTCATCGATGCCATACTTTTTCATAATGTGTGCCCTCTTACTCATCAATCTGAGCGTCGTCAAGATTTTTTGCGTTCCTTATATGCCTTCTATTTTGGCCATTGGATATCTTTTCTGGAAATCTTTTATGGGCAGCTTAGAAAATTTTATGATTTGGTGATAGAGCAAACTCCAGAAAAAGAAAAAGATTGGGAGTTTCCTTTGTCTGTAATGACTCGGTCATTTTCCTCCCTTTCCTTTTTCTTGAAATTTTACGGATAAATTTTTTTCGTTTAATTTTCTTTTCTAAGATCTGTTTCTCGTCATTTAGTGTCATCTCGAGTGCTCAGAATTGGTTTCTGAGACTCTTTCATGTGGATTGACAACTTCCTTTGAGGACCGAGTCATTTCCGCATTTTTACTTTTTGGACACTATGCGCTATTTCGTCCTTTTCCCTATTTTGTCTTTTCCCCGTTTGTCAGCTTTTGGCACAACTTCACTTTTCATGCTCGGAGTTGGTTTTTGACTTCACGTGCCTTCATCTTCAGTGGTTTTCTCAAAATACGTATCTTTACTTTTGCAAGAAAGTACTCTGGTTGCTCTCGATGTCCATAGGGGCATGGATACACAATTCTTCAGAATCATTTTCATTTCTTGGGGTGTTTTTCATAAATATCTTTTGAAGATATTTTATTTCAGGGGTATCTAAGAAAATATCTTTTGGAAGATATTTTTATTCTGGGATAGTTTCGCAGTTAACCTTTTTTGTAGGGGCCATTGTGCAATTAACGAAAGTTATTACAAAATTCCTTGTCTGGAGCCTGGATCCTCGTACAGGATTCATTTTCACATTTCGTCGAGTCATGGACTTTTGGAAATTCCTTTTGGTCATTTTTCTCCAGTTTCGAAGTTTCTGGACTCGGTTGCCGCCGAACTTGTTCGGGACATAACTTTCTGCTCGGGACTAATTTTTGATGTTATTTTTTCCATTGTTCATATTTTCTCATTTTGAATCTTTTTCCTTCACGGAGTTTTACCGTTTGAGCGCGTTTGCTCAAATTTCACTTTTTCGGACCCGGCGGGGCCCTTTCGGGGCACTTTTTGAGACTTACTAAAAATACGGGACTTAAGAACAA